CGCTGTCCATCCTCCTGGGGTTGTGAGTCTATCTGCAGGCTCCCGCCTGGGGGACGCCAGCCATGACGCCCGCCTGTACAGTCTCTGCTGGTGGAAGGTTGCAACCAGGTACCACGCGCTCAGCGTCATGATGCAATTCACAGGCGAGTCGCATCATGGAGCTGTTCGCTGCGACGCCTGCGTCAGCAATTCGCTCCCCCTTCCACTTTTGCCAAAACCTTGTGTCTTGTGTCATTTATTGAAGCATTAATCACATTTTATATACCGGTACATTAACCTTTTCATCACAAATTCACAAAATAGTCCTGTTTATAGCCTGCATTTTCTTCAGTAGATTGGGACAAAACATGGCCAATTTTTTGGTGTAAAAACTGAAAATTGACTCAGGTTTTATCTGTTGGCTCCAAAATTGGGAATCATTTCGAGAAATATTGAAGAATATACTAGTAAGCAAAAATTATAGAAAAATTTTGGCGAGAAAGTCAGGTGTTGATAAGGTTGAGTACAATATCAAAATAACTGAAAAAAAGTGTGGGGAATATTACAAATACTAAAGTGCCTCTCTCCAATTATTGCACACATTCTTGCCCTGTTATCTTGCAGTGTGATACTATATTTTTCAAAGTAGAAGCCTACTCATAAAAAACAAAAATTGACACAATTGGGGTTCTATTCCAGAAATATTGAAGAATATAAGAAAAAAGTGCAGAATAATTTGGGAGAGAAAGTCTGGTTGTGAAAAGGTTAATGAATTGTACTCACATTCTCTGGATCTATGAGTCCATCCCCAATGGCCATTCCTTTCAAATTGATCCTGAATCTGGAATATGGATTTTCTATATGGATTTTATAACATATTGCAGGAACATATTTACCTGCATAAGACTATAAGAAGATTACATTGTCAACATCCAATTAGATTAATGTCACATTTATAACTTTTCACAAAATAAATACCTCATATATTTGTTTTAATATTTCCATCAAGTGTACAATTACTGCTAAAAAAAGGCCTATTCTCCAAGTTGCTAAGATATGCCACACTCTACTGTGTATTTTTACGGGCTCTGCAAGCTGCTCGAAGAGCCCGTGAAAACAGCTAAAGTCGAGAAGATGGCACAAACTCAACTTTGACTCAAACCTGAGCAACCAAATTTATATATGTTGCACATGTAGGGGTAATCTTGTTTCACTGTTCAGGAGAGTCTCAACAACTTTACCAAAGTACAGATTTCTGAGAGTTTTTTTTTTCACTGATGGTTGTCACTCGGTGATAATGCCCAGATGTCCACCTCCAAGAATTTCAGTGATACATAATAGATCTTGTAGCATTATACCCCTGACACATGTGTATATTATAAAATTAGTGCTACAGCACTGACCACTTGTTGTACAAAATTAAAATGGCAAGATCTGTGATTTTGAATTTTTTTTTACTGTATATTTACAATGGTTTTACCATATAAAGATGAGAGCCTTTCAGAGAGAGGCTTGAGAGGCTGGTGATGTATTTGACATTTTGCCCAGGGTCACCGGTAGTTGTCATCTTAGTATCGTAATCCCTGAGATTTGTTTAACAAAACTGAATTTTTGACTCCCGTGTGCGAAGCACAAAAAGGGAGTCTTTGCAGTTAGTGTGTCTGTATGTG